ATTGTTCGTTTAATTTTTATTTTCAATAGGAAAATACAAAGATAATAGTAGATTGAGTTTTCTTGTAAATGATTATATGGAATGTTCAAATGTTAAAATTACACAAAACGGTATCCTATATTATAATAATCATTACAAAAACAGTTTGAAAATTATTAAATAAAAAATTTCACAAAAGTTTATCGTTTAAACATTTATATGTAAAAGCAAAAAGAATATATCTGCTGTATTGAATACAATATCCATTCAAGTATGCAAAACAGTACACCATATAGTCTCATATTGTAAAAGGAAGCCATTCAATGACATATTGCACATTAAATCGATACTAAATACTACAAAAATATAAAAACTATTTATTTCAATAACCTGTATAGAGCAGAAAGGCAGAAATATGATTTGTGCTATAGAGGTGTCCTTAATATTATACATTAGCAAGGAAAGAGAATCCAAGAAGTAAATTTTGATCCTCGTTAAATTTTAATACCATTACAATAAATTACATAGTGGATACATTTTCACCTAATGACATCCGTTTAATTGTATTCCTGTGCTCACTTGGTTTCTCGGTAAGCAAAATATAATTGAACCTCAAAAACACGCACAAATCAATGCTCTTAACTTACAAACTGCATTCGATTAACCAAGCTTTACGGAACCTTATCGTTTGTTATCTGCCAAACACTTACATCACCAGAAACACAAATAAGCACGAGAATGAGTTCTCTTGAAAATGGTTGTAAACATAACTGAAACGCGATGAACAATGTAATTTATTATAATGGTATTAAAATTTAACAAACATCAAGATCAGCCTCTTTGATTGTCAACGCCTTATTTCCTTGCCAATTAAATTTAAAAAATGCACTTAATATAGAATAAAATCTAAACAACTTTTCAAAATTGCATAAATATTTAACACATAAATAGCACCATACTAACAAAATTCTATACCACAATATTATCACATAATCCACATTTATATGTATATTAAATCATTGTTAGTTTGAAATGTATTGGATATACAATTATTGTTTAAAATACATGTCAATTTACTACTTAAAATTTATAATAAATATCTTTAATTGTAATATATTTTTGCAGAATTGTCATTTGGCACCAAGTTGGATGCCAAAACTCGAATTTTTTGTCGAGACGTTGTCATTAGAAAATACTCATAAAAACTTTCGATTGTGGTTGACATCTGCGCCGTCGTCTGACTTTCCCACCAGTATTCTTCAGAATAGCAGCAAAATGACAGTTGAACCACCACGAGGCATAAAGGTATGTATTATACATATTATTGTAATATAATCAGTATACATTTTTTAATACAATCATTTTGTTTTTGACGTTTTATTAAATCGACTTCTAAGAGGGTTCGTAACGTTTAAACAAAAACACTTTTGTTATAAATCACGGTATAGATAGATAAATGACAAAAATAAAAATTTGTTTACGTATTATAACTTTTCATAAAGTTCATCCGGTTTCCTTCTTGTTTCTCATTTTTAACGTAGGCCAACATGTTACGTGCATATCTAACACAAGTTATGGAAATGCAAGAGTTTCTGCAACCCGCTCACCTGAAAGCTCTGTCATTCAAGCGGCTTATATTCTCACTTTGCATGTTTCACTCAATCCTGATCGAGAGACGGAAATTTGGTCCCCTCGGTTTCAATATATCCTACGATTTCACAAACGGGGATTTAGCTATATGTTTGTCACAATTGTACATGTTTGTCATGGAATACGATACTTTGCCATTTAAAGTAAGCTATTGGTCTTGTGGAAAAAAGATCTTAGCTTAAGCGGAATGTTTCTATCTTTTCTCTTTTAATTTTGCAAAAACATTGCGAAACTGATATCACTTTCGAAAAAGAAAGTAACAATATTTTTATATCTTCTCTGATGAACATAAAGTCTCTATTAAAATACGCAATTCTATTTTTATATTTTATATTTAGAAATTTTATTTTGACACTCTCTCTCTTTCTCTCTCTCGTGAGTTTTTTACATACATAATAATTGCTAAAGAAAATTTCTGTAATAATAAGAATCTTGTAATTTTCTTTATCTAATCCTTAGATTCACCATTTTTTGAGATAAATTTATACATTAAGTAAATTAAGAAGAATATTAATTTTTACATAATTCTTATTGTTATTTATATATAACGAAGATTCTCATATATACGGTCGGGCATATTAATTATGGTGGACGGATAACAGATGATTGGGATCGCCGAGTTGCCATAACACTTCTTGAAGACTATTACAATATTAATGTCGTCTCCCAAAATCACAAGTTTGACGAACAAGGGATTTATCATCAGGTATACATATCTTTGATATAAAAAATCAACTATCTATGATAATTCCAAAAATGTTAAAAAAAGGTGTAAATCTTTTCATATCTAGTATTAACATTAACTTAAAATATATATGCAAAAATTCTCAGGATTTACATAATCTTAATAAATTTATATAAAATTTATACATATATTTATATAATAATGTACAATAAGAACATTTCTGAAGTGTAAACTCTTTTTATAAACAAAATTGCTATTAATAATGTTATTTACAACACGCGATGTTTCCCTGCACCTACGTAGTTACCAGCTGCAGCGTCGTTCGATGATTATCTAGAATACATAAAAGGTTTTCCTTTCAATGACGATCCATCACTATTTGGCATGCATTCAAACGCTGATATAAGCTATGCCCAAGCAGAAGCACATGCTTGCCTCGAAACTTTGATAAATACGCAGCCCAGAGAACTTGGTGTTGCTACTACAAGCATCGAGGAAGTGACAAGTCAAATAACTAAGGACATGTTGTCAACGATATCCGAACCGTTTCATTTAAATGCATTGCAAGAGAGGTACTGCTGAATATGTCTTTATGTATGATAAAGCAAAAATATATTTTTGCTTACGAACGTTTTTCTTAAAATGTTCTTACCGTTGCTATTTTTAACCCGAAATAAAAAACATCTTACAATTTCATCATATCTGAAATTTGATAAAGCTATCTCTTTATATTGTCAAGATATAATCGTTATTTCATGACAGAAATCCGATTTCTTAAAAGTGCATTCTTATGTACAATATCTAACAAAATAAAAGAATTTTTGCTCTTCACGTTTCAAAAGAAGTTTTATATTTTCGAAACAAGTATAGCATCTGCGAAAAAGTTAGATAAATCTTTCTATTAAATCTGTAAATAAACTAAATTGAATTTCAGGTACCCTATATTGTACGAGGAATCCCTTAACACTGTGTTACTACAAGAGGCCAAACGATATAACAGTTTACTCGAAAGCGTGCAATCAACGTTGCAAGATCTTCTGAAAGCTTTAAAAGGCTTGGTCGTCATGTCGGAACAGCTTGAAATGATGGCAACCAGTCTTTTTCATAATAAAGTACCCGTGAATTGGCAAAGCAAAAGTTATCCGTCTTTAAAACCTTTAGGTAAGAAGATCTACCCGATTACGAATCAATCAATACGTAATATAATTTTAATTAAATTCTCAAGACTAGTTGTGTTACAACAAATAAATTTTATTGTTTTCATTAGCCGGATGGTTTGCCGATTTAAAGGAAAGAATTAGATTTATAAGCAATTGGCAAGATGAAGGTATACCGTCTGCATTTTGGTTGCCTGGGTTTTATTTTCCTCAAGCCTTTCTAATTGGCACGTTACAAAACTTCGCGCGCAAACACGTAGTATCCATCGACACAATCGATTTCAGCTTCAAGGTACGCTTTCAGCCTTTAATTAAATTATTGATGGGTCAACATGATTGACGTGTAACATATATTATAATAATAACTACGAGAAAATAAACGTGAGGATAATTGACAGGCATTTTCAATTATTTAAGAGATTTTACTGTAGTTGAATAAATTTTAATTTATAGTAATTACAGATAAATTATTATAATTAATCTACTGATAATAAGCATAAATCTAATTAATATTAATTCTCGTTAAATGGTCAAGAATCGTCGTTGCAAAAATTTGATATTATACTAGTCTTGGCAAAATCGATAAATGAATATATTTCGAACAAAGTCGTGTACAATGTTACATATCGTAGGTTTTGTCTTCCAAACCAACGCAGAGGCCGTCGAATGGCTGCGTCATTTATGGTCTTTTCCTGGAAGGCTGCCGGTGGGACGGAAACTATCTCGTAGAGTCTGTACCAAAGGAATTATTCATCGGTTAAGTATTAATAATGTTGCCATTACATTAAAGTTAATTTCACGCTAAATTATTAAATGCTATATTACTAAACTAATGAAATACAAATAACGTGCTTCGCTTAGCAAATTATATTGTTTAGTCGGTCCGAGTCTCGTTTACATGACACGGTACTGTTCACTTGTTGTCCAGACATGCCGCCGGTTCTCTTGTTACCAGAAATTCATCACGTAATTTCGCTTCATGGAATTTATATATGCCCTGTATACAAAACCATTGAGCGCTCTGGAACTCTAAGTACAATGGGACATTCGACAAACTTTATTCTAAAGATGGAAATTCCAATTGATAAGCCGCAATCACATTGGATAAAAAGAGGAGTGGCATTGATATGTACTTTGGATTATTAATATATTTCTCTGTTACAGCATTTGTGACTTATGATTGACAATTGTTAGTAATTTCGTGTGCATGTTATTGATATTATAACCATTATAATAATTATTATAATATAACAACCGATTGTCCCAAATAAATTTCTATTGTGAAACTGTGCTTTTCAATGATAACATTTACAAAATCTTTCAAACGTGTTATTATTATTTTCTTTAAAGTATATTATTTGTACAAAACTATGTTCTAGTTATATATTCTATAAATCAAGGAATCATTATAAATTTATTGTATATTATTACAGTAATTAATAATTGTGTAGAAACATAAATAATCAAGTATACAAATGAATTTTTTATTTTATTAATATCTTATAAAACAAATTATATTACATGTGCATCTCATGTGTAAAGATACGTAATATAAATGAACAATTTAAGGAGATATTTTATTTCTATTATAGCTTTTATTAAATTTTAAAAACAATTTCAACCAGACAACAATATTGAATGGATATTTTATTCATGATGCAAAACTTGCTTGTTGAACTTAAAAATAGCTTAATCAATGCCTTGCATTTATTTGTCGTATTCGTATAATTTGGGATCTTTGCGACTATATTGATCATGCGCTGCAGTCGACCATTTATATATCACAGCTGACATTATAAAACCTGAAATAAAAAATATCGAGAACACAATTGAGGACAATTATGTAAAGGAAGGAAATGTTAAATAAAATAGAACTTCAAGACAAGTTGCGTTATACATAGAATTGGCGGTCGGAAGAATAACAAAATGGTTCCTAAAAATAAAATTCTATAAATTATATAACGAGTATTGAAAATTATATATGTAAGTTTTCAATAAATAATTCTCCAATATAACAATATTTTACATCTTTCTTTTTTTGGACAAATAAGAAGTTATTAAAATAAAATAAATAAATTTTCTATCTCTCATGCAATTGCACGACTTCTTTTGAATATATTCTTTTAAAAATATATATACATATATATACATGTACATGTTCAAAATATAAATTATATTGTAAAAATGTGTATATAATTTAAGCATGTTTTTTAATATAAAAATATTCAAAACTGCAAAAGAATTAGGAAACGCTATTTATGTTGATGATACAGTTTCCTATTTAAAAATCTGCAAAATAGCTTTAGCTTTCTTGACAAAATTGGCACAATAAATATATTTTGCATAAAATTTCTCTTTAACTTCTCAGACTGCAATAATAACCCAAATTGTTATCTTCTAAAAATAGGTATTTTAAAGATCAAATCACTGAAATGCTAAAAATTTAATTTCTTTGATTTACACGCTAACACCACGAACGTTGGTAAATGCTACGTGAAAATTGGTTCTTATTTATTTATAAAAATTGAATATGATGTATTTTTAAAACTGATAAACTATTTACATTGTGTAATATTTTTTAGTTTTCTATAATGCAAATATAAAACATACATAAAGACAGAAATTGTGCTATGAATAGTAATGTAATGCTAATTCAATATTTAACAACATCGTGGTCATTGAACAAATATACATATACGTATTTGTCATGACGTCATATTACTGTTTCAACGGGTTCAAAGATTAATTTTTATTTCAGTTAAAGACAGAAAACTATCAGCGTAGGAATGATATTTTTTATGTTGGTACTAAAATTATTTGATATTATTATTTGATATCATTCCAATTAAGGATTTCTAGCATTACGAATTTATAAAAATTAAAATATGTATACCAATACAAAATTGTTAGCGAAAATATTTCAATATCTGATATATTTCTTTGTCTGAAAATTTTTATATATTTTCATAAAACTGAAGCATTGTTATACGTTGAATTTATATGCTTGTAATATCATTATTATTGTAGTGATTTATTTTACGCACGCAGGCTCGCCAAAAGCTTAGATACACACAATTTTATTAACACGAGGCTTACTTGTTTATTTTATATTTTCTAAATATTTGTGCAATCAAATTATTTTGAGAGAGGAAAATGAAACAGCAGAAGTATAGAAAAAGTACGTGCCGTAGGCACAAAATAAATTTCATGGTTCAATACAATCAACAATTGCATCTAGATTGTAAAAGGATTATAGTCACGTAAACAAGTGGCTTTATGAAGTTAAAATTTTCCACCTCTCTAATTGAATTGGATCGTTACTATTCACGCACACAGATATGTCTTATATTGTTCCAATTAATTCTAGAAAAGAATTGTAATATCAGAAACCAATATTTTGAAAATTAAAATCTACATAGATTTATAATTATAAACTTTTTTAACATGTAAGTGGGGATACAATTAATAAATCATCAAAAATTGGTAAATGGGTAAATATATTACTAATCAAACAATATAATTTAGTTGATTGCTTGATTACAAAAACTGCTTGATTACAAAAATAATTTAAAAATCTGATTACATTTTACTTTTTATTTGTTTTTCATGCAGCTTGCCACTTATGCATTCTTTATATTTAGGCATTTTAATTAGAATCTTACAATTAGTTAATACCTTTCTAAGAATTTATAAATTATACATTTAATGCAATTCTAAAAATTAAGTATATTAAAATATTGTTTATAATCTGTACGTCATTAATGTAAGTAAAATACTTAGGTCTTGATAGAAATGCACACCTGGAAGCATCGTTGGAAGCGCACGCATTGCTCTGTTCAGTAAATTGGGGATTCCATGCGTTATCGATTTTGCCCAAGCTCGTTGTTCCAACGGCGATAAACTGTAATACGCGATTCTGCGAATTCGAATAGGTAAATTGCCAAATTCCAAACCCATTTTGCACGAATTGCAACAGAATAGATTAAGGAATTTATTCTTGATGCGTTGCTATCGCGGCTCCCATTGTAACATTTTTCTTTATTTTTAAAACAAAAGAAGGGAGAAAAAGACAATTGCGAATTAAATATGACGTAAAGCGCACTCTTATTTGATTCTATACCAAATAATAAGAGCAATAACTATCGGTAAAACTAACTACGAATGTGATGATATGGAAGAGAGCTCTTATGCCGTAGGACGATGAAGCATTACATTCCGAATCCTGGATTTACAACAAAGGATCACAGACATTAGTGCGAAGCTGTGTATGATCATTTTAGAATTAGTGGATCAGCTAAATTAAATCGTATCCCTGCAGGCTTGATCAATCGATCGATCAATCTTCTTTGAACATATAATATATACTATTTATTATAGAATAATATACATATACATATATACTATTTGTCATAGAAACATATGTATAATACATACATATACATACATATATCTCAACAAACATATTGTATTAGCTCTAAAATTTTTAATATAATAAGATTGACGTATCTTGATATTCCCACACGTTTTTATGTTTTTGTCTATATATTTTGTCTATATATCCTTTTCTAATATAATAAGCATTGCTGAGATAATATACATATATAAAATTTTTCAGAAATTTATTTTATTGTATAATTTTAGCCATCGTATTCTCATCTAAAAATGTTTAAAATATTCAAATTTTTCGAAAAATAGCAATACGTGTCATTTTTATGTACCATAATATTACAATATTGTTATTATAGGAGAGAAACATATTAGCCTTTATCAATTAATACCAACTACTGATTAAATTTATTACACAATTCCTGTTAAGAAAAATATGCCAGTTTATTAACTTGCTCATTTCATCTGCCATCATTTTGATTGAATTGTGCATTAATATAAAATAAAAAAAAACGGAACACACAGTTTACAAATAAATCATTTTTAAACTTAATTTATCATCCGGACCATTGTCTTCTAGAATGAATACACGGTCTCGGCAAGAGACTTCTGTGCCTCCGGCAGCGGGATGATAAGAGGGACGGGCACGTGGCAAAATCGGCGCATGCTTACGCGACGGCGCGTAAAATTTTCGCTGCGTGACCTAGAATCTTGCGGGCTCGTGAGAATCGGACTTTCCCTGATCATCGACCCTCCGTGCCGCGTCCAGACTATCACGGCGGCTGCGAGGTGCGATACGTCAATAAGTACGATATAGCACAAGGACACCTGTTTGCCTCGATCGGCGTGCACGCCGGCAAACGTGCCATTTACAACACACATATACACAATGATGTGATTACGAAGTTTACACATAGTCCAGCCTGACGTATGAGAAATCCGCTTTATATTTCATTCCATTCGATACAGTTACGTCAGTTTCCAGAGCGAGCGAGAAAAAAAGGAGAGACAGAGAGAGAGGGAGGGGCGGAAGAGTGAGTGAGTGAGTGAGAATCTCCTAATTCAGAAAAAGAAATTAAAATCAACAGGCTAGACTCTAACAGCAGATAAAAATAGGTGTGTAATCAGTTATGTATCCTGTCGATTAAGTATATCTTGTAATAAGAAATATCAGTGACCTTAACAATACAAATAAGTGAACGTGATAAGGAGAGCTATATATCCGAATAACAAATTATACTATTTCTTTCGCGGGCGTATTCTTTCAGCTCGCTGCGCGTACGGTAACGTTTTAACAAAATTACTAGCCAGCGCGATAACGCTTTGTATGGAGACCGCCGGTCGTATTCATCGTGGAATGTCCTACTTCTTGGCCGCCACGCGCCGTTCAATTTGCACGATTATCTAGCCGCGGCTGATACGCTGAAAAGTCAGTACGCGCGCGGGATAGTTTCAATCATGGCAGAGTGTCGACGACAACAACGACGATGACGACGAGGCAGGCGGCATATGCCTCCGTGTTCGCGTTTATATCTATATCCGCGCCTGTTGCGCCTGACTACCCCTCTCTTTACATTAGCCCTCTCTCTTTACCACCCTCCGCCGCCGCCCTGTACGCCGCCTTTCACCCGATCACCCTCTTTCACCGCTTCTCTTCCGTATCCCTCCTTTCTCCACGCTTGACGGTTTGATACATCCCTGCGGATCGTGCGGGAGCGAAGGGAGAGCTCTCGCACCCTTCCACCCAAGCCGACCTTCCACCCTCCGATGCTCTCCCTCCGCATCCCATCACTGCCGATGCCGAGTGGAGTCGTGGACTGCGCGCGAGTCAGTTACCGAGATAGTGGCGACCATATACTACAGAGCAGCACCAGCACCAGCAGCAGCAGCAGCAGCAACAGCACAGCGGTGACAGTAGTAGCAGCAGCAACAGCAGTAGCAGCAACTGGCCCGGTCAGCAGCCACTTGTCTGCTGACCGACGCCGCGGCAGCTCGGCAGGATCCCTAGCGACTACCTGTGCGATTGCCGAGTGCCACCTGATGGGAATTAGGAACGTGGCGCCGGTAGCGTGCACTAATTAGCGCGACGGTTAATTGCCGAGGAGCCACCAACTGCCGAGAGCAACTGACCGCACGCGTGCGCGCCCCGTGTCGACGTGACCAGCTGCAGCCTGTTACAAAGCGGCCGATTATGACGTGAGTCTCCACGGTCTTTGCTCCTTTTTTTCTGTCTCTCTCTCCCTCTCTTTCTTCCGTTTTTGTTGCACCTCTTGTCCATGGAACGACCAGGTTCTTCTATGTAACGTTTAATCGCATTGGTACTGCATTACACATTTATTAATTACGTCGCGCTAATTGTGTAGTCGCGTTAAAAATTCTATCCAAATTAACGTAGTCTCTAGGAGAATCTTATGCTTCATTTCTGATGATCTTGGAGAACCTGCGATTTCTCCATTGGTCTCAACATCTCCAATATTTGAGCGTAGGTAAGCATGCTATGTTTGAACATATGGAATATTGGCACTCGTTGTTCCTACGGTTGAACAAGCATTGATACGTTATCGATAAACACCCTAAAGGTATTTACCTACGCTCTTGATCGATAAACGCAGAGCATGCATTTATGTAAATGCCAAATTGCCCTTCTATCGATTTCGCGCGATACTTTCGAAAAAAAGACATCCACGAAATACCGTGAACATAATTTTCGCGCACGGAAGCGTAACCGAGCGGATTAAATTACTTAATTACGAAGCTTATGCATGACGGGCGGAAAGTTACGGGGCAAAGCTGCGGTTGTTTTCGTTATTAATAATAAGCCGGCCGTAATTACGTGCGCGTTCGATGTACCGCGAGCAGGCAACATACATAATGTCGATACGTGCGTTCATCGATTGATTGCCGACATTAACATAACGCAATCGCGCACAATTCGGCTCCTTTTTTCACGGGGCGGCCGCCTGCCGCGCGGCAGACAGTCGCTAAGGGAAAATCGAAGAAAAACCTCAACGTACCTCCTTTCTTCTCGCACCGCGTGTCGACGCGTTCTTTTGGCTGCATTTTCCAACGGTTCTATTTCTTTTTTAACGTGACACGCGCTCGTGGCGCGGCGCATACACGTCATTGTAATAAGAAAAGTGTAAAAGACTTAGATAGAGAGAGAGAGAGAGAGAGAGAGAGAGAGAGAGAGAGAGAGAGAGAGAGAGAGAGAGAGAGAGAAAGAGAGCTGCGAGGTATGCACCATGGGAGTATCGATTCTGCGAGGCAAATATAGCCACTTTCGTTGAAAGTTCCTTTGTTCTCTTTACCGCAGTGAACCATATGATAGCGAGTAACGCGCGATGAACAATGGCAGCAGATAGCAAGACGACGCGGCGAGTTTATTGAATTTTCCGCGGGGAACTTGCACCTCGCAGACTTGCATTTGCGAACGCAAGTGCCACGCGCTCTAATCCATGCGCAGACGAAACGACAAGACGTTCCAATCCATCTACAGTATGAGAAATTTCGGATCCTCGCTTTCCTTCCGAGTCTCGGATCAGTATTTTCCAATGCTAATCAACGCACTTTAAAAAAAGTGCTCTACACATAGAAAGCTTTATATTTCTATTTATAGTGTCACATTGTTTAAAATATCACGCTTTGAAATGATAATAGCTTTGAAATTATCCGCAAACATTATGAGAGTAATTGGACATATGGCAAATAGATTACTCGAGCTGTATTCAAATCAAGGCTGCTGATGTATGTCTTTGAAATTTATTAGCGATAGATGGACAATCTACTTATAGTACATAACGTAAAGGTGAAAAATTCGAGCGTATAAAATCAAAGCTTTACACTCGACGAAGTTACAGTACCATGAAATGAGACTAACACTGTGGTAAAAGCTGTTTGAAAGTTCGTGCGAATGCTATGTATCAAAATATACCACAATGGCCGGGTCTGAGGAGCAACCATCGATTTATACAACTTTGTAAGTTGAAGAAAGTTCGCGACCTCATTTGTCTTGTTATGTTCGCATTACCTTGAGAAATGTGATGCTACGCATTATGTCTTTCGTTCCCGCGTATATTTCTCACATGTCATAACTCGAATAATTCTCCTCTGAAAGCCAATATTATGTCGAGATGCTTCAACACGTAGCAACGAGCCACCGGATGAATAAGTCGGACAAACTGATGAAAATATAGCTTCAATTTTATATCACAGAAATTATCTCATACATTTAAAAATCTAGATTTTTTTCAATAGAGATAGCAAAATAAAATAGCCGGCCTTTTTACGATTGTGCTGATTTACTCTCGGTAATTCCTCTTTTCTCGAAATGAGAATTTCATATAAGCGTATCACGCTACCGTTCCATCGAGCGGCTGGTATGAATACCATACATCGTTTCCTTCATTTTACACGGCGAATATGCGACAATTGAAGCAGCTCGCTTGTAAAAGCTATCGCCGAGGTGCGATAATATCGCTGTGCGGAAACACATTTCGAAACCACGTTTGTGATAGGCGATACCAGATTTCCTGTGAGACTCCAAGTACGCATCTCTCGTCGTACATTCCCGTTGTCGTTCCTCGAATATTTCTAATTTCCCGAGTCCCAATAAAGGACACAGGGATTACATCGTATGCCGAACAGGAAAATAAATGAGAGAACGTGGGAGTCGTGGCATCCTACGCCCGGAGAAAAATCTTTTACAACCTGATATCGCCAGCCGGGAGGGGAGAAAGATAATAACTCACGTCACATGTTCACATGTGTCGATACGCGCGCATAGACTGGACACATTAATATTCGGAAATGACGGGATTAGACGGAATTGCTGAACTGGGTTGCGTTCCAGTACGATCGTGTTGAAATTTCTCTCTAATTGCAAGAAAATCCAATAGCGAAATGATACGCATAAGTACCATTATTAAATTTATTTCAGTGCAAATTTCTATATTATGCTGTCCGAACTGTGTATAATAAAATTTCCTTATTAATATATATCTACAGAAACGTGAGAGCTTTGTCTAGTTTTTATAGTTGATAAAAAGGAGAAAGAGAGTTTAAATCTTTCAAAGAATAAAAAGACCTGATCTAAAAAAAATGTTTTCTCTTCGAGAACTTTTCTTGTTTAACTGATTGTTTAATCTAGTTTTCTTAAATATTATCGAATTCTTTTAACAAACATAAACTCTGCATAATAATTTATAAAAAGGCTACAGTTAAATTAAGTTATGAATTTATGTATAAAATATTTTTTACAATTATAAATATGAGTATTTTATATTCGTATATAATGTAACATGTGAATGAAAATACTGTTGCGATATGCACACGTACAAATTACTCTTTGTACTTTATATGCCCTTACTCGAGATCTAAATTAAGTTAATAGAAGAAACAATTAATCTTACAGCAGAACCTTCTAAGTGCTAGTTCAATTTGCCTCGGAGAAAAACGGTTTTCATGTGGCTTCCGGATGCTGCGGTACTTTTCTACAAACACTATATTTATCAGATTAAAGGTTAGTGTGTGATTTTAATGTTCCAATTCTATTCAAACTTCGATTGGAAGTTGTACCATATATATTCCTGCATTATGACAAATATTATATTCCAAACTTTATACATGTAGATATTAAATGTAAATAGCGAATATAATTTTCACGAACAATAAGTAAATAAATTATATTAAAACTCACATATACGATCAATTGCACATGTTTACTGTTACAGACAGACTGATTCTACGCGAAGAGAGAAAGCGGAGAGAGAAAGAAAAAGCGAAGAAAAAAGAAGAGCAAACGGCACGTTGCAGACAAAATAACTCGCAGCGAAATGGATGAACCAATAACACGAAGTGGTAGATGGGTTTGCCCGAATGATCGAGAATTAGCATTACGAGCAAAGTGAGTTTTAACATTAATTAACATCAAGTACATGTCAATGCTTAAATAATGAAACAAATTAAAATCATTTCCCTACGTTTAAGAAGAGAGCATCTTCTTTTGAAAGAATTTCATATATTATGAGAATAGTTGAGAATAAAAAGTAAATTCTGTTATGCTTTCTCCTTTCATTAAAATAACATTTTGAAGTTACCTTGGTATATTTGATTTTTAACGAATGTCGTTGAGACGATGAAGCGAAGAAACTTTTAGATGAAAATTTCACACGATGTATATTTAATGCACTTTAATGATATACTTTTTGATATATCTCTATTCTTATTATTACTCTTGCAAATTTCAAAATTGTTGTAGACAAAAGGTAAAAAGCATCTTGCTCCAAGTTCATATGCGTTACATATAACAATATTACATTTCTGGGAAACAAGTTGTAAATATCGTGCAATATGCGCCGCGGCTATGCATACACGTAGTGCCTTACACAGCAACTTTTTCAGCATCATACACTACAATATAATTACATATATACAACAAAGTAACAACGAGAATAAATGTTCGAAGTTACATGCATAGTATATGTGCAGTATACTGCACAATAAAATAAGTAATTTTGTGTACACGACAGAAGAAATTTTATTTAAAAGTGAGATATATACACCGAGAAAAATGCCGAATCTTTTCGACCTAATGTTAAAAATAATGTAAAAATCGAACATGAGCTTAGAATCAGTTGAAATTATAATATGCAAAATAAATAGATTTTTGTCTTCAATAAAACTCCAAACATACATAAGCATTCATATAACACGATTGTCTTACTTTTCTGATAACTGAATATTGTATATAGAAATACCATGAGAGAAGAATACTTTTTCCTTTTCATCTGCTTTCAATATATCCGAACAAAACGGGTCGAAACTTGAAGGTTTACGTTTTCAAGCTTACTTTGGAAAGCTCAATCTTATTCGGGGATCACTCCGGATTTTCCCTGTTTGTACGGAGGGGTGAAATAATGAGACTCTCTTCGCAACGCAGATACGTGATTTTATCTGTCCACAAAGTCATGTACCACGAAAGCTCTTTTTGAAGAGGATTCTTTGGAAAAACTTAAATTTGACAATTTAAAATTTTTAACGAGCGATCAAGATTTTTTTAATAAATCCGTTAATGCCAATGCTTCCACATTGTGTAACTTTCAACCTCGAATTTAATCAGACTCTCTTTACAACGCAGATACGTGATTTTATCTGTCCACAAAGTCATGTACCACAAAAGCTCTTTTTAAAGAGGACTCTTTGGAAAAACCTAAATTTGACAATTTAAATTTTTTAATGAGCAATCAAGATTTGTTTAATTAATCCGCTAATGCCAATGCTTCTACATTGTGTAACTTTCAACTCGAATTTAATCACTTGTTATTTATAGATTTAAACGTTGCTATATCAAAGCTACATTTGTATGCCCTTTAATGCTTTTATAGATATAATGTTTTTTAATAAATTTTTTTCATTTATATTCGGCATGATCACTTTTGTAAAATTGGAAGAAATAACTCTGTAAACAATTCTCTCGGGCAGTACTAAATTCTTAAAAATAATATCAAACAAATTTGAAAACAAAATAAAAATCAATTACAAATTATCATCATGTCGTACAATATGTTGTATATTATGCAATATCTATATTTGTTATTATTTTGTAATATGATATACACAGTACGTACGCCGTAGACGTATCGCTTGTTTCTTTAAAAAAATTCGATATTGCAAACTAATGTTTTTATACACACATATACATAAATTTAATATAAAATGCCTTTTAATCACTTTGTTTTTATAACTTTAAAATTCGCAAAAATAAGAATGTTATATAAATGTTCGAAAGTAGGAATATGTTGAAAATAATATTACTTTAAACAATCCTCCTGTATGAAGAGCTATAAAACGCATTAAGTTAAAGCTTTTATCTAAAATATTTTTTAGTGTAGAATTTTTACGATATTCTCTCAAAATAAAATATCTGTATCTAGTCTGCTTTAATGGATTGTTTCAGTCCTTAAACGGACTGAAAGCACTTGTAAAAAAAATAACGAATATTTGGTTTTCGTTTATTCTACAACATACCTCAAAGTTATTTAAATTGGAGAGGATACCTTTTTTATTTAGATCTTTGTAAAATTATCTTGTGTATAACTTCTACCTTAAAGAATCCGTTTAAATGGAAACGAAATATCTTTATTACTTTTTACAACCTTTTTATGAGTAAAACACGCAATAATAAATTGCGCTTAAATCTGGTACACAGATTGCGGACAGGATGGTCTGTGAAAACGGGATCTTTCGAATCCCGTGGATGGGGACAATATCCAAATTCCTGCACGAGCAGTTCCAATCGTTATGGACAATCTTACTTGCTCAGTGACGATGAACGGAAAGCTATTATTCAGGTAAACCTCACAGTAAATACATTTTACGATACATTTCGGTCTTCCTTCCGATTTTTCGATTACCATTTCAATATTACAAAAATAAAAGCAAAATTCTCTCTCGTGAAACTATAGCACGTGTTATTTTATTTTTAAATAAGGAAATATTATATAATTTAAAAAGATAGTTATATTTGCTATTTGTGAGATTAAAACATGACAATATATGAAGTAACTAGTAATGAAGCCATATGACTTACATCCATATTTAACAACTAAAAACGTAACACGCGATGTATTTAATATTCAAGAATGCTCATCCCAAGTTATTTACATAGGTATTGAATAATTTCGTAGCTCTTTACCCTGTAGACAAAAGTATCCCTAGCAATATAACCATATTCTGTTTGACCCACTTAATTATGCAACTTTTATCCTTCCATCTTCATCGAGAAACTACATGAATGGTTAAATAGAGTTTCAAACAAAGATTGAAATTGACTCTCTCATTAAAAAACATCGTCTCGATGTATTTAGGTTCTCATATATTACAGACACAGAAAAATATGGTCTTATTCGTGTCAATGAAGATATAATTGATGAATTTTGCCGTGTCTACAGCGACGAGAAAATTCAAGAATTTTTCTTTTCCTTATAAACAAGTATCGACTGTGGCGCAATGAGATATGTTCTAATGAACCAAAGATCCAAGTGTTTAAATCTTTCCAAAAATTGTTGGATTTTATTCGGTCGCCACTTCTCGGTGGAATTGGGCAACTCACCGAGAGAAGATTTGAGAAGATTTTCCTTACACCATCGTAAAAGACAAGAATCGTGCCTGCGCAATACTACACGGGCGTGGTTCTCCCTTCTCGTGATGGTGAGACAGAGAAAGAAAGTCTTCTTAAATCTTCTCTATCTCTCTCTTCACAAGCTTCAGCTTATTCAATGGGACGCTCAGTCTATATTTACTATGTCTATGGAGAGTAAAGAGTTGGTAGCCTTTTCAACACGAGCAGGTGGTTATAGAAGAACTTTTAGATTCAGGGGACGTTTAGGACAGGCCTAGCCTCCACCCGCTACACCTCCACTATCACTACTTCTATTTCCACTTATCACATATATCAATTTAAAAAAGTGTAAACCATTAAAATGCATTTTAATGAACCAGTAAATTGCTACGTTTGTATTTTTTTTAAATTAATATATGGTAAATTTAAGTAGATAGTCGCAGAGAAATTTTTATATCCAAGTAACATTGGAAACTGGCCACCCCCGCTACACCTTGATTACTACTTTCCTATAAACAAAAGTATCCCTAGCAATATAACCACGTCCTCTTTGACCTAACTTAATTATGCAACTTTTATTCTTTCCTTCCAGCTTCACTGTGAAACCACAGTGAGTGGTTACAGTTTCAAACAGGGATTGAAAGTCATTCGTTGAAAAATATCTCGATATATTTAGAATTTTATGTTAGAGAAAAATGGATTCAGGCCGGTATTTATAGTCAGATCTTATATTCAAGACCGTCTTGAATCTAAAGATGCTGTACGGGACATTTCATTGGCTACGGAGTATCTAAAGACGATTTTGAGACACTTTTGAATGTAAGATCTGACTATGAATACTGGCCTTAAACTTATACGTGGCAATAGAAATATAATTGACGTATTTAACCGCATCTATACAGCGAAGAGAAAATTCAAGAACTTGATTCAATACTGATATAATGCAGTTTTTCAAGCTTGAATATAAATAAATTATGAAATTAATAAAATAAAATAAACTTTCAAGTTCTCAAGAAAGTGGATGTGCATTGCGTCTTTCAGTCAACTTTGTCAGAATTAATCTTTGTCGATTCCAATCTTTGGTTCCAAGCAGATATTTTCACAGGTGATACAAAGGGCCGAGGCTCTGGATCTGTCGGAGCAAGAGCGAGTCGGTAGACTCGTTGAGAGATTGGAGAACATGAAGCGAAACGTGTGCATTGTGACGTCGACCAGGTCGAACGAGAGACGTGGTTGCGGACGTCGGTGCTCCGGTGGAGCTCGTTGCGTCTGTGCTTGTGCGCTCTGTGGCGAAAAGTTCGGCGCCGTGCTGGGGGCGAGCGCGAATCTCTGCAAAGACTGCCGCAAATACATCTGCGAGAAGTGCGGCATCGAGGCCACTAGACTTAATCCATCGAAAGCGAGCGGCGACGGAGATGACACGACTACTTCATCGCGCAGTTCGTTACGCGTCGTGAGATTCGCTCAGGAACGAGCGGGCGTCCAAAGAATCGTTCAAAGATCCCATGGTAATGCACAGAAGCAGTTCCTCTGTCGAATTTGCGCCGAGACCAGAGAGATGTGGAAGAAAAGCGGCGCCTGGTTCTTCAAAGGCATGCCGAAGTATATTCTACCGGAGAAGAAGGTGCGTGCGAAGACAGTAGTTCGAAAGAAGACAAAGAAATTTCTACAGCATTATATTAAGACCGACAACACGGTTGAAACATGTAATACAAACAGATTGATTGAAAAAGATTGATTTTAATTATTTTTCTATCGCTGCATTAATTGAAAATTGCTTTCTATTAAAAAAATATATAAGTTATTTTGAATGAGAGAACAAATCTTGCATTTAAATTAAATTTGTAAAACTAAAATTCCACGAATAACTCGCTTTGCAAAAAGCTGAAAAACTATGTAATTAAATCTGTGATGTAATTAAATTACGCCAGTGTTTCCTATGTTGTCTGGTTATTTATGTTTTAAAGATATTTTTTAGGAATTCTACGCTAAAAAGTATTATTATATTTTGACTTTTCTTGTCCAAAAGTTTCAAGATTACTGATTTAAATAGCATAATTAGAATGTCTTTGCAAATTACTTTAAAGCCGTGTGTTCAGAACTAATTTAAGATAATCAAATTTATTCTGAAAATAATTAAATTCCAATTGTTTAAGAGTGAGTTGATTAAAACAATGAGAATTGATCTAGATTTAATTTCTATCACTAATTTCTACACATGAAATAAAATCATCGTATGCTACCAATACAGATACAATCGAAGTATTGAAGCATCCTACAATAGCAATCACATTTTTCTGAAGCATGTTATGTTTCATGCATAACAGAGTTAAACATGTATGACAATCACGTTTCAATCAATCTCCTGTTGATGTTTAATTAATAATACCAATCTCAATATTTATCCATTTCTTCTTTCGCATACTATGCTAACATATTCTGTCCAATTTTCTATCAATACAAATGAATGTAACAAACTTGGTTCCTGGTTGCTGCCAGTTTTTTAAAAATGCACAGCACAAAAGATATTTTTTGAAACGTCTGTTATTAATGTACACAACATCACTCGTGAACATTTAACTTGTACAAATTTCTCTTTTGTGTTCTCTGGTATATCGACCTAATACAAATTTTTATGTAGGAACGGGGGTGGTCTCGACCTGGTCACAGGACGTCAACATGGACGATAGGCGGCCCATGCAAGTCCTTGGACTCAACCGATGCTCAGGATTCCTCATCCGATGACGATGTAACACGACGACTCGTAATAACGCGCGGTCACTCGCCTACAAATCTGTCAAGCAATCGTGAAAGCACCCCTACCAAGCTGACAATTTCAAGTCCTGCGACCAGTACCTCGTCACCGCGAAGTCCTCGAGGAAGGCCGAATGGTTTGTCGCCTTCGGGCTATCGCGAGGATGCCAGCTCCGATAGGCTGGACAAGTCCTGTCTCTCGATCGCGTCTCAATGCAGCCGACTCTCGCCCACGGGCTCAATCGGCACCTTTCGCTCGAGGGCAAGCGGCAGGAGCCCGAACGAACAGGTGGAGCAACGCGTGTCTTTTGAAGATATTCTCGTAGATGACGAGAAGGCTAATGAGGCGGATGACGACGAGGAGGAAGACACCGAGGGGGCTCGCAAGGAAGCTTCCACATCTCTAGACCGATCGAAGGGCTCTCAGGTACAATCTCTCAGGTAAGGCAAGGACGATAACGGGGATGGTAGTTGAAACTTACGTGAACTGTCGTTCCGCAGACTAAAGGCACCGACGATAGCGACGACGTCGACCACGCCGGCCGAGCAGTTCCAGACTGTAGGCAGGATTCTCCAAGAAAAGAACGCAGAACGGGAAGCGAGCAGGTCCTGCTCGGATCAAGACAGCTCTTCCAGCACTCGCAGCAGCAGCCAAGCGAGGACGTCAAGGACCCTGGAATATCCACAAGGTCAATAAAAATGTCTTAGCAGTAATGAAACAAAATCAATAATTGTGTGGCTTAGTCTAATTTGAGGAGAATCAAACACATTGAATAGCGCCGAAATCTTAAAATCGAAACAGAAACGGGACAAGATTATGGAACTCTCGAAGCCTCCTTGCGATACGACCCGGCAGATCAGTGCCTCCAGTGCAAGGTGGAACGTGCACGTCGTCTAAGGTCCATGGATATACAAGGCCTAGCCGATCCCTTTTGCAAGCTGAACATACTGCCCGTCGGGAAGGTATCGACGAGCAGGCGACTGCGAACGAAGACGGTGCACAAGACGCGCGACCCCGAGTTCAACGAGACGGTGAACTTTTACGGAACGACGGAAACCGACGTAAGGATCAATATTATAACGCATTGATATGTCAATCCGTTTGCGATTATACGTACATGCTAGAAATGTCTCTCATATCAGATCTCGACCGGCAAGGCATTGCACATCCTAATCATCCAGGACGACCCCTCGGGCCAGGATTTCCTGGGAGAGGCGAGATTTCCCTTACAAGAATTGCTACCATATCAAACGAAGCATTACAAAGTTTCTCTGCAAGCTCATTATCCAGTATGTTAAATAGAAAAGTCTATATATAATTAAATCAAATTAATCCAATTCAAACTATTCGTAATAAAATAAACTTTTACATTCGGTATGAGCACAGTGAACGAAGGCCAGCGCTCTTTCTTCATTTAAAATAAACGTAAATTGTTTGTAGAATAAGTTTGTGTAACGACAAAATATACAATAAAACATAAGGAACATTTCTCATCGATACGTGTACAGTGTCGATTATTTTGGTGTAGGTGGACAACGAAGAGGAGACTTGGGGCATGTGTTCAAGCGGTCGCGGGCAGATCCAGATAAGTCTGAGCTATTGCACGCGTCGCCGCGCGTTATTGGTCACGGTGCACTGTGCCACGAATCTCCTGCCCATGGACAGCAACGGGTTTTCTGACCCGTTCGTCAAACTGGCACTCGTCGAGGATGCGACCGACAATCATCGGCAGCAACAGTCCGTAGAGTGTTCATCAAGCGCTCGCGCTACTGCCAAAAGGCTGACCGGGAAGAAGACGGCTGGCCGCGGCTCGCAGAGCACGAGCATCAAGCGGAAGACACTGAATCCAAAGTGGAACGAAGAGTTCGTTTTCGCGACTCGCTTGACGGAGCTGATGAAGCTGACGCTATGCCTATCGGTGTGGGACAAAGACTTCGGCAAGAGTAACGACTACCTGGGTACTGCGAACTATTATTCACATTATTCCAAATCTCCTTTTTCTTCCATGTTCTGAGCGAATGTTACAAGTTTTTACGGTCTTAAAAGATACAATTCAAAATCTCGTATCACACATTTGAACAAATCAAGTTAATTAGCTGTTGCATGATAACAAATTTATTCACATAATTTGTATACATAGTTTTTCTATAAGCAGAATTAGAAATTATAAGATTTGAAATATTACAAGGCTTGCCCGCGTTAAACTTCTGTCTTTTTTATCAAACTTTAATCTCAGTTTAAATTACTTCTTTTCTCATTTTTAAGGCCCGGATTCTTCAACGTTATTCAACTTTAAGCTTAGCTTAATTCGTTCTTTGTTTCTTTCCAACTGTTACTCTAGAGACAAACACGAATTAAACTAAGATTAAAATTAATTAATTAAATAATTATAGTATATATAAATAATTAAAGTTAATTAAATAAATGTCGCTTAAGCGACGTTTGATAAAACCTGGCCTAAAACTAGAAAAAGATTTGAAATTAAACCGAGATTAATCTGCATTGGTAGAAACGTTATTCGCGTTACCAGTTCGCCTTAATATATATGCATTACTACCACTTATCTTTCGGAAAAATTACGCTATCTTCTCTATCTTAAGTAAAGAATAGCAATGTCGCAACTACGCTGAGAAAAGTTTTCATCGGATAAACCAATGAAGTAGTGTTTCCGGTGGTTAATTTTTCCGATTACGTTTTCTGATTAAATTCTGGATACATCCAACGCCGATGAGAATGCAGTTATTGATGACATGTGATTGAAAAACTGATCATTTTGTATCAGGTATACTTACAATTTAATCGGATATAAGTATTCGTTTGTTATTTTGTAACTGGATTATCCGATGATATTTAATCTGACATTGTTCTCAGTGTATGATTACCGATTACTGAACCAAAATCAATAAAATGCCAAAGAGTTATCGGTACCCACAATTAAGATTTAAATATCTATTATTTCCGATCTGGTATAAAATGCTTATCGTGCACTTTTACAATTTATAGGCGGTCTCATGCTAGGTTGCGTCAGCAAAGGGGCGCGTTTGCGACACTGGTTGGACGCGATCAGGTTCCCGGATCATCGGCACTTGGCGTGGCACAATCTGGCGGAGATGGACGTACCAATGGAATGATAGCTCCGTTTCGACGATCGAAAAGCAGGTCAAGATTAAACGCACGAAGTATGCGGGCTTTGTCGACATGTTGTACACATTTACACGGATATACGCACACGCATACGCAACATATAGTATACATGGCGCGCGTGTTACCGATCTGTGTGTGATTTATCGTTGCTCAAAACAATTAAGTATTATAAAGCATTAAGAGGTTGATACGAAAATAAAGAAGCTGCGAGCCTTCCTTCTATCATAATTCTTTACCAATGTATTCACGCGTATAAAATCTAATCTTATATACATTCGTACATAAACAGCTATAGTTTGTATGAAAATTCTTTAACGCAAAATATTAATCATCGCTTTCCGTGGAAGCTTCTTCTGCCTCTCGCAACCATTTGATGAACGGTTCAACGGCATTTTTCACTTTGATATGAAGCGGATCCGCATCCTCGCCGCCAAACTCATACCACTCTAAAATCTTCTCCTCCGACAGTATATCATGGTCGTAAAATTGATGCAACAGGTGTTGCGTATATGGCAGTAATTCGTCGGTTGTACCAGCAATGTCTTCTATGGCACGCAAACAATCCTCCTGCGCATCTTTATTCTTAACGTAATTCGTGATAATAGTGTTAAAATAGGTGATCATGATTTTCAGGTTCTTCTGATAACTTTGTTTATCAACGGCAGTCTTCGTCTCGGAAAGATAATGTAGCGGCAAACTGAGAATCGCCTTGATGACGTTGTAAGTCACCTCGCGTACGGTGACGTTGTACGCGTACCTTGAAGAGTTTATCTCCAGAATTAAATTCTCGCACTTGAGCTTATCCTGATAACCACGCAACAGACTATCGATGACCTCAGACAAGAACATATTCATGTCGTCCGGAACCGGGGTGTCGTAACAGGCAAGATTCTCCTCGTTGCTAGACGACTCTGACGAGTCGTCGTCGTAGTTGAACTCTTCAGGGTTCTTGAAGTACGAAAATCCGGCATTAGCGTTCTTAAGATCTGACATTTGAGTCTTGGACATGCCGGAGGATGTAGACTCGAGGAACATGTCAACGTATTCGCTGCGAGCGGTAATATCAACCCCCGGATACAATATGCATCCATCTATCTGGCTGCTGTACCTAATGATGCAATCCGAGAACACGATGCTGCTCTTAATAGTACAATTATCTTTGATCCTAACGTTCGAAAAGACGTAGGAGTCACGTATACTAACGTTACTACCTATAGTGCAATTATCTGCGATTACAGAACTCGCGATTTTGGTATTGCTTCCTAACGAACTCTTCATTCCGAGAATAGAGTCCTTTTCTAGTGAACAACCCTTGGCAAAAGTAGCAGTTTCGTGCTTATATGTGCACCGCGGCAGGGATATAAAGTTCCTTAACAAGGGGAAAGCGTTTGGCGCCAAGGGAAAACTGTATCTACGCAAAATGTCCTGGGTGAGAACGTGATAAGTCTCCCACGATGTAATTGGCAAGGCGTAATCTTCCTCGTTTAACGTCTGACAATAGATCCTCGAGTCCAAAATATCGCTCGTCAATACTCCACGAATAAAATCATCCATGGTCTAAAAACACAAGAATATTTTGTAGCATACATTACACTCGTTTCATCATTATATAATTATAATTGGAAACAATTGTGGTCGAGCTAACGTTTTGAGTGAAAAAGCAACTTAGTTCGTTTTACTTACCTGAAAATCGAAGTTATCGGCGAAAAGCGGCAAGACAGATGGCGAGCACAGGTAGATATGAGTGTCCAAGTAACAAGAATTTACGTCAACCTCGTCGGTATTGAGAAACACGTTTACATCCACCTTCATTCCCTTGCCAATGTCCTTGAATTTAAAATAATAGAGAATTTTATCGTCGCTACTATCCGACATGACTACAGATGCCCCCTTGCTGAGATGAGGAACCTTCGTCGAGCCCAAATTTCGAAACACCATAGTCATAGCCGCGCCCTTATCCTTTGCGAATCTCAAGCGATGAGCATCGAGCAAGGCTTTGAGATTCGTGTTGGTAAACGTGTTTCCGCGAAGCAATATAAAATGTCCCCTGACCCAGCCTTTCGTGTAGATGTCCCGCAGAGCATCCCCAAGGGATCCGCAGCCGTCGGAAACGATCAGGGTGATCGTGATAGAGTAGATCTTGCAAGATCTCTCCTCTATGTATTTTTTTAGCAGGTCCACGTGGCTACTGCAGTACAGAAATACCTCCTTTATCTGCGACCTCGTCAACGTTTCGATCATGTAGTCGAAGAGGGGCACGTTTATCACGGGCGTCAGGATGCACGGGTATAAATTTTGTGCCGGATTTAATTTCGTAGTGAAATCGTCCGCGAGAATAACGACCTGCGGAACGTCCTTTTTGCACATCTTCGTATCCATTGTCCCGGATGGTCCCGGATTTACAGCTGCAACCGGCCTGCGAATTGACGAGTTGCCACGATCTTAGACGACCGCGTTGCGAACACGTGGTTCTACCAGGTAATTGCGGTTAGACGAGATACTTAAAGCTCGTACAAATCACCTATGCTCGGTTGCACCAACGTCGCATAACTTTAATCTTAGCTTAATTCACTCTTTGTCTAAAGGAATTATTATTAGTCTAGTTAATGGCTCCCGGTCCAATCACTGGACCGACACGGCCACGACGAACCAATAGACGTTATATAGTTAAGCGATTGCTTGAAGGTAATGTACAAAGCGAAGGCCCCGACTATCGGGTCTCGCGCGGGATGATGCAACCCCGCAGGATCAAAAATTGTTCTTCTAGGTTAGAAGGCGTGTCGCACGCTCGACGTCCCGAGCGGAACTTTCGTCGAAAGGAAACAATTGGAAAGAGACGCAGAATTAAGTCGAAGTTAAAATTCCGTGACGTGATGCAACCAGGCCTTATTCAATTACATTTGCATGTTTACCTTTTTTTTGTGCACAATTTACCTTTCACGCAATCGATGCCACTGCTATATCTCTTGAACGCGCCTCCATAAGAATGTAAGGAATTATAAAGCGTCGTCAACACATACGTGACGCAACCTTAAACGTTCATTGCGAGAACTAAAATAGTGAAATCCAAATTCCAAATACAAATTACGAACCCGAAATCTTATGGAGTGCATTGCGTACAGCGACATATCTAGCCCTCATTTCCGGAGACCCGTCAAAACCGCGGAAGTTTTATATACCATTGTCGGTAAAGCAGAAATCTATACCTCTTTTCGACCGTCGATAATTAAAAAACCTTACGTTTATCGGTCACCGACTATAAGCGCCGAGCAGCAGGTACACTGGGGAGCAATGATTCGCTGGGTCATAGTAGTAGTTCTAATTTATCGACGTGATTTACCGTTGGGTCGAAAACGATCTTAAAACGCGCACGACATACAGAAATGTCAAAATATGTATATAACAAGTTAAAACAATTTTAATTCTGCACTTTAACTGTTAAAAGTTTTAATTCTGCTTGTTATTTACACATTTCTGTGTCGCGCGCTTCTTGATCGTTATCGGCAAGTCACGTCGATAAATTAGAACTACTACTATGACCCAGCGAATCATTGCTCCTCAGTGTACATTGCATTTATGTTACAATTTCTTTCAACAATGTAAACAATGTTAGAAATTGTAACATAAATGCAATGTAACCGATACTCGGTGTTTACTGGGTACAGCGTGGAACTTGTCGCACTCTTATTAAATTTATGGCCCGGTTTTTCATTCTTTGGAATGTAAATTGGCGCACATTGTTTTTAACTACAGAACGATCACATACCTCGCACTCTTGCAACATTTTGACAAAAGGATAACGGCGAGAAAACTTTGTAGCCACAGGACCTGCGTCGATTCCGAGAACGTAGAAACTGGTCGCCAATACCGAAGCTATCGCACACGATATTTAATCGCAAACGTTTCCGACAACACACTCGCGATGACTCTTCGCCCGTGTTTGTATTTAGACCGAAAAACACGCGAGAAAACAAACGGGTTCGTATCGTGACTGTCTTACGTCGCGTCCAGAGTTGGGGGAAACGTACGTTATGAAAGCACCGATTAAAACCGATGGCACACGATACTGTTTTTCCTACCGAATTGCTTACGAGAGCCAATCAGGATGCGGAGTTTTCGACCAGGTGACTCAAAGCTGAATCCTGATTGGCTCTCGTAAGGAATCGTAAGGAAATAAGGAAAATGGCTTAACTTAAGCCAACGGCACTATTTTTCCTACTGGATTCGTTACCCCTTAAATTAATAAACTCATTGTTAGATCGTGTAATTGTTGTGAATAAAGATTTGTCATTAAAGTTTGACGATGAAAACCTGCTATCTCATAATAGAGGACTTTCCTTTACTTGTTCGGCATGCAGGCTTCGAGCTATCCGCCAATCAAACAAGAAAAGGAAATTAATATCGTTAATTATTGCTTCATTCAGCTGTAGCGCGTCTCTTTCTCTCTCTTTCTTATTTGGAAATGTTCTGAAGAAGCATAAAAATCTTGGAAGCCCGTGGATGAAAAACTTGGTTTATACTTTTTTTTTAATTATTTCACACTTGTGCATCAGATGATTAAACTTTGATTAACTAAGTATGCCAAATAATCTCTAGTACTTTGTTGGATAGGATAATTTTTTTACTTAATGGAAAAGAAGATTGTAGGCAACGAATTGTATAATTAGAAATATTGCAAGAAATCGTCAGTTGGCGCTTATGTTAATTTTTAAAAGTTTCATCGAAATTTGACGATTAATTGAATAATCTCTATGCAATTTTGCTGAAATAGAACAGAATACAATAATTCTCAAGTTGTATCCTATACCATCGCTACTATTGTTTAGTGATAATAAAAATCATAAAATTAAAATAAAAATAAGGGGCAGTTAGTCAAAGAATTTAAAAGTTATCAAATGTTAGACGTATCGATGAGCGTCATTAAAAATGGAGCTATAGATAAATTTGAGGGTAAAACAGTACAATATTTATTGCAAAGCAATTTTTACTTCGAATTCTCTTTTTATTTCTTTCAATATCATCCAAGATCCTTAATGTTAATCGGTTGCAATCGTTATAACAATTCAGAATTTTACAGTGATTATAATCTTGAACACTGTAAATTCCTTTACTTAATGTAATACGCTGCATGATTATGAGAAATTTTGTGTAATATAATTCAATCACTGGTTTAATCACTGGTCTCTTAAGATATAATAATCAATTAGTACATATCTGCATGTGTGATAAAAATAAAATCGTATCTGATAAAAGACGGGTTGACGACTACAAAAGATAATGCTGAAGAATCATAGGAAATTGTTCACATTGTACAAATTGTTTTTACTATTTTGCACGTTATAAAAAGGACATATTAGTGTGTCGCTTAATTTGATCCACTTAATTAATACGTGATTCAGAAATTCCCAAACTCGTAATTGTTGAACGATAAATAAACATGAATTTCTCATCGAGAGAGATGTTAAATTAAATGTTTTTAGATTCCAAAACAGCTTTCTAGATTTATTACAAGTTTCCTTTACGCTTATCTATTATAATCCCTTGGAATAATATTTGGGAGAAAAATAATACGATCCAAAAAAAGATTTAATCAAAACGAGTTAGAGAAATCCTGATTATATTTATTTCTTTAGTTAGCGCAGAGTTTATGCTTTTTTTGTGCGTATTCAATAAATTTATTATGTTTGATTTATAAATTGATATTAGCTGCGGTTAGCAGAAAAAACTACTTTGCAACTCTTGTATAATTCGTGGATCTGACTGGCGTATACTGTTAATCTCGGTTGAATATAGAAGCATACACCAATCAGATTCACGAATTTTGCAACAGTTGCAAAGGAGCTTTCTCTATTGAACGCAACTATTGTCATTAAGGACAACGGAATAAATGGCTGACATACGAGACTAGTGTATAAATAGACTTGCTCATTTTTCACTGACAAAACAAAGTAAAATACTTAAAAATATACTTGGTATATATCCGAAAACCTTATAACGTATGGAGCGCAACGCAATGCATGAATCTATCATTATTTAATATTATATGCAACAGTAATTACTGTAATACGAAATGATCCAATTATAAAAAAAAAAATACGTGAAGGATGTAATGACGCTGCATTAAGTTATATAAGTTACAGTGACCTTTATAATATCAATATTATGGAGTAATAATGCATGAATACATTTCTAGGTGTCAAGCACAGCAATTGAAAATTGCGCTAATCATTTATACGTATTAATCTACATATAAGTAAAATAAAAATTTAATTATTGAAGAGTGAAAATACTCCCGGAAATATCTGCAGAAATATAATTCCTTTTTTTTCCCATTTGAACACATGATATTTCGAAATAATATCTCATCACAATACAGTGCTAATGAAAGTTTATATTAATTATTATTTATACGTGCATTACGACGGCAATTTCACGTGCTTTACACTTTCTTGACTAGATATTATAAGTCTTGCTGAATATATTGCTTTGTTATTCCTCAAAACATTTAATTACCTTGTTAAAAATCATAAAATATTTGTGGAGTACTGAAAATGGACATTACGTGATTTATATTAATATACAAAGCTGTAGGAAGCCCTAATTTATTTAGTAAGTTAAAAAGCCATTTTAAAAGATTATTTAAAAGATGGATTGTTATGAATGTTGGTACCAAAAAAGTGTCGATACATATTAGTTTCATAAAAATATGTAATTGTGACAAAATCACAATTATACATATATCTTTTCACGAACGATATCTTTTATATGCACAATATAATGGATAAAAATGCATTATAGTGCATAACAAAATCACATTATATAAAAAAATTTAACATTGGACTCGCCTTATATTTTTTTTTAAGATTATGACATAAAATTTTAAGAATTCGACAATCTAATATTTAACATTCAATTCAATAGATTTCATAAAATTAATTTACATTTTTATATTTATGTTCTTTCTCTATAAAAATTTATAACTCTTCCACATATATCTTCACAATTTGTTTATAACCTTCAAAACATTATAAGTTAATTGTAAGATTAGTATGTGGTGTCTCAATTTTATTAAAAAGTAACATGTTATACATGTTTACATATTTAAGAATTTTTGTATCTTTAACCTTAAGTACAGTATCCATGTATCAATTATATATATGCCTTGTCATTAGTTAAAAGAGAGTAAAATCCAAAATAATGCAAAACTAGTATATACATTTCGGTACATATTTTGTGATTTATTTTGTGTATTATTTTTAAAATTTGTGTTTGCATTAGATCTAACAGAAGCTTCTATATTTTTTAAGCAACGATGTTGTTATTATGTTATATAGGAAAGAAAGATTTATCACAGTTTTCCGAATTAATTATGCATTTAAATGACCTCTTACTAGGAAAAAAAACAGATATCTAAACTAAAATTTAGACATTTCAGACATTTATTGTTATTAATATGAAATTATTATTATGATATGCGTAACACTTTGTGAAATAATATTAAGATGAGAAAACTACGATATGGCAAAAGTAAGATATTTCTGAACACGATAAGAATCGGTGCAAGAAAAGGAACATGTAAAATGATATGTAACTTAACGAGTGCTAAACATTTACATGAGATCAAAGTACATATATGACATGTCTAATTTGCACTATGAGAACATAATATTGGTATAAATATATTTTTGACAAATTAATACTCTCAACTTTGGCAATACTTTAATGCCAATATAGAATACGTTTCTAATACTGTGCCTGCCTATTTGCTGCACACGTTACGTCGTTCATTTCTGCCTGTTCTGAAATTGATGAACCGACCTATCTTAGGAATTCTCGCAATTCCTACGTAATACTAGTTTATAAATATTACGTTTGTGACAGTGATATATTTTCTTATAGAAATTTACAGGTACTAATTGTGAACATGAACAATGGAAACATTACGCTGTTGTACGGTATGCGCCAGTTAGATAATAGCTCTAAACCGATGACGCATCATACAGTCACCGGCGGCCTGTACTCCTTGTTAACGACGTAAAATTTGTGCTTCTTACCGAACAGGCCCCAGATCACGGCAACGTTCTCGATGATTATATTGAACGGAATAGTGGACAGCGCGCCGCATATAAACATCATAAATCGGGCGAGGCCGAAACGATACAGAGAGAACGATTTAACTACTCCGAACACGTACATGTAGATATTTACCGCGCCGATAAACGCGCAGAGAAAGTCGATCAACGGCGGGCAATTGATCGGACATAATCCGGCCAGAACGATGTTGGAAGTCGAGAGGGGCATCGTCACCCACGAGTAACACGAGATACCCAGCAGCAATTTCTTTCTCAATGGAATCGCTTTGGAATGCACGACAAGTAATATACCTTGCAGCCATCTTTTCCTCTGCTGTACAAAGTCCCAGAGGGAGAACGGCGACTTCTCCCACATCTCGCCGTCCACAAAGTTGAACGTGTATCCCTGGGAAAACGCCTTCATCGCAAAGAAACAATCTTCCGCGACGGATCCGTCCAGGCCGTTATTAAACGAAACCTGTTTTTCTGCTCCCATCTGTAATACGCGCACAAAAAAAACCCGACGTGAAGATGACAAGAGCAAAGCGTAGATATACACTACTTGACAAAAGTCCGAGCACAACCTGTACTTACGACTGACTTAATAAATAAGCCTCCAAAAGTAGCTCTCTGACCGCAAAATACGACAATCTAATATTTAACATTTAATTTAATAATTTCATAAAATTTATTTGGATTTTTATATTTATGTTCTTTCTCTATTAAAATTTATTAATTTCTCCACAATCTTCCTAATTTGTTCTTAATCTTCAAAACATTAAATTAATTACAAGATTATTATGCAATGTTTCGATTTGATAAAAAAGTAACATGTTATACATGTTTATATATTTAAGATTTCATATCTTGTTAAACAATTACTAATTTTTCTTTGCCATAATTGAACGATAATATCTTTTAACACAAATTCCTTCAGAAACACAAAGCGCCATTACAGAAGAGTTTAACGAGTCCCACCTGAACGAAAACAATATAGTTTTATGTTATAGTACAATTTAGACCTAAATGGTCACAGAGAGTGTAATGAAAATATATAACGCGAAAAGAATGATCTTAAAGCACTGAAAATAACTACTCGCAAGCTTTTGTTTGTTGCTTTCTGTGACGCAAACCATTCTTTTCCATCTTTGCTAACATAATTCAATAAAATGTGACGATTTAATTAACTTCTTTCCAATGTAACACCGCTTTTAAAAGGTGTGCTCCGACTTTTTATCAAGTAGCATATCCAAGTAAACGCGTCACTGCTTTAACATATTAAAACAGAGACAATGTATAATCCTTAAAAAAAAATTTGCCACGACGAGCAATCACCTGCGTGACAACGTAGGACCCCTTCATACTGAAGAAAGGCTTGTGAAACATGGTGAACTGTAGTCTCAGCTTTCCCATGTCGTCCGCCACCCTGAAGCTGTCGGCCAGGGTGGTGATCCAGTTGACAACGTCCTCATTGGCGTACGTGATCAAGCCCTGACCAAACTGATGCTTGCCGTCCAGCACAAAGTTGAGTATCCCGCGTACGGAGTTCTCGGTCATCAAGGTCTCCTCGTCGAGGTGGACGATCCAGTCGTGATCGGCCAGCTCGTTGACCGAGCTCTCGAGGCAGTACTGCAGGGCGCGCGCCTTGAACAGGGCGCCGCTGCTCGTGCGATAATTGAGCGGGACGACGACCTCTCGCACCCTGCGATGCGGCGTCAGGCCTATCGGCTTGTCGCTCACCACCTCGATCTGGAAGTTCTCCAGACCGGCCTCTGTGCACTTGTCCAGGTTTCTCTTCACGTTGGTCTTGACCAGCTGCGGGTAATCCCCGCGGGTCACTATTCTTATACAGATAAACGGCGCGAGCAGCGGCGAGCCTTTCAGGTCTACCTTGTCGGGGAATGCATTGTATATCGTTAATCCGATAAAGTTGAACAGGACCTGGGGCAGCGAGAGAAACGTCACTGTGCGCAGCAGGTACAGGGTGATCGCGCCGATGATGCCGTATCTTGTCCATGGGTCGATCTCCTCCCTCGTATCTTCGTTCCAACGAAGGCCACCGGACACGAACTCGAACACCAGTATGACGACGAGCAGCAGGCAGCAGTGCAAAATGTGTTTCGTTATGCTGTTCAACATTATTCCTGCAAATCACAGTGCACATTTAGCGAAGCCGCCGAGTCCCCGAGTACAATTGCACCAACGCGCGTATTCGCTTGCCGCGTTTCGTAACTCGTGACAGTTCTCATTAATCTAAATTACGGCGAGAACGATTATTTTCAAACTTGGCAGCAAAAAAATTGATCCGGCCTTCAGTCCCGTCGCGTAACACGCCCGTATATGTACTGACGTATACACAGCTAACGCGCAGCAACATCGCCGCGCGCGTTACGGGCGGCTCAATTGGCAATAAGAGGCTCGTGACTCGCGAGAATTTGCAAAATTAAAATTAGTCCGCACGCCATGACTCAGAATTATCTCTCGGGAGAGATAGCGATAACTGAGGCGTGACCGAGCGTGAGAGATGGCCGCGAGTTCTCGCGGACGTGCGCGGGGGCTGCTCCGGCTCCGCGGATCATGACTTAAAACACCGACGGTCGAGTCCGGGCGTCGCGGCCGCAGCGTTTAATTAGCGCGATCGAGCGGACGCCCTTGGCGCCGTACGAGCGTCGCGCGCGATTATCCGCGATAACACGGCGCGTAGACCTTGCAGATATCGCGTCACTGTCACGCGGACGAGTGATTTGTAGGGTACTGTTGCAGCGGGTGTTGCTGCGGGGCGCCCGTTCGTTCGCGAGGACGCCGAAGAATCGTAGGCAGAAAGCGCGCCAGGATTTTACGCGACTGATTCGGCCGTTGGAGTAACCAGTGCGTTCGGAGGTGCGGATGCGCGCGACCCACCATAAATACCTGCGGTGGCCGACGAGCTTTCAGACGTGCTTGACGATCGCGAACGCGCCGGCTCTGCAGACTCTGCCCATTGCCCGTACAACGGCGGCCGAAACGGGCGGATCCAGCCGCCAGCGACCCGTCCAACTGGCGCGCGGAATTACGTTTTCACAACACAGAGAAGCCCAAGAGCTGCAACTGCCGGGTTTTAGGTGATCCTCGAATGAGACACGCCCTCTATTGACATTGGAAAACAGGAACATGAACTACGTAGCCAATGTCCGCATTTCTGTATTACCGACAGAATTACCATTTTTTTTGTAGTTGTAACCTTTCGTCGTATTAAATTGATGAAATAAAAAATGCTTGCGTACAATTATAGTATATGCATTAATGATCCAAGGAATCCCCGATTTTATACAGAAAATGAGTAAAAATGTCAAAATTCATACATTGATTATATCCTTAAATTATGCTTCGTATAAAAGTTTTACAACAATTGTACTCACATGAAAGTGAGTTTCCTGGGATTGGATTACATGTAAAATTATTGTGACATCCACCAAATTGGGATTAGAGGTTTCAAATAAGAATATAGTTTGTATTAAACTTTCGCGTTTATGTGTGGGTGTGATGTATTGTAGATGTGTGTCCGTGTGGTTATGTATGCTGCGTTTCGTGTATAATAGCGTTTTATCGCTCCGGGAGCGATTAATGACGTCACGAGTTTTGTTTTAGGTTACTAGACAAATAACCCAAATGCAACCCATGTTCGACCCATACCATTGCGAATTGATCCATCAGTGCTAAGAAGCTATACGTTAGGTTACAATCAGGTTATACGTGCGTGTTTATTGTGGAACGAAGTATTCTTTGACGATAATAACGCGTAAGTGTACCAATAAACTTAATTTTCGATTTTATCATAAAATTGACAAGAATATTGTAACTAGAACCTAAATTACCTTCTCTACATGAGAAAAGTTGATGTAAATATCATGCAGATAATTTATGTTAATGTAATTTTGAATTTCACAGCGCAATCCTGGGGTGCTTTCGCGACGTAGAGTAAAATGATCCGGATCAAAATGATCCGTGCTATGATTGGTCAAATCTGAAATTTCATTGAATAAAATTTCAATGAGATGCTACGAAATTTCAGATTTGACCAATCATAGCACGGATCATTTTGATCCGGATCATTTTACTCTACGTCGCGAAAGCACCCCTGAAAATTAATATGCGTAGCATGGACACGCACCGGAATTAA